CCCCAAAACCCCAAAACCCCACAATTAAAAAATTTTGAATTTTTATTTTATACCAAATTAAATTTATGAAATTAAAATTATAAATTTTAACCTATTAAATTGATACAGAAATCCTTCTTAAGTAAGGCATCATCTAAATGTGATCTTTTTTACTCCTTTATTATCTAAGGATACATTTTTAGTAGCCCCTGTTTATGAACTTCCTACTGGTCCACCTCTAGATGGTGCTCTTCCGGCTCCGTTTCTTGAGAATAAATCCTATCTTGGACTTCTGCTTGGTGGTGCATTTGGCTTTTACATAACATTTTAGACTACTTCTATAGTTTTTTACCTTGAATTCTGCTATTGAGAGTTGTTTAATTAAGGCAAAGAGGTTTATGATTTCTACCTAGATATAGGCTTATTAGTATCAATTCTAGTTGAAGGAGTAGGGCCAGCCCTGCTCTGAATGTTTGGGAGATTCTACTGAGATTATGTTCCTCCGAAAACCTATGACATTCTTCTTTTTGGTGATGGCTTTATATAGTCCTTAACTGGCATTGAAACTTTTTGAGGTGTAGGCTATTTCTATGGTTCTGGCTTAGGCTATCTCTTAGACTTGTATTTATCCACAAATTTATTGACAACATCAGCTGGAGGGTCAGTTCCTTAAGGAGTTCTAGGTTTAATAGAGGTACCAGGTTGTGCAACTGAAACCCATATATATCTACCATTCTTTGGATGTGACTCTACCTCCTCAACAAAAATAGGTCCTTCATGCAAATCTAGTTTGTAATCTCCAAATTAGATTTTGCCATCTTTTTAATTCAGCTTAATTACTCCATACCCTAGTAGATCATATTCATCCTCAAGAAGAACTCTTGAAATAAAATTTGCTACAGATGGAATGGTATTTTCTTTAAGCTAAAGATACTATACGATAAGATAGATATCGCTTTCCAGTTTCTTTTCCCATAATTTCCAGAGTAAATCATAAAAATCTCTATTCCAGTCTTTTCCATCATTAAATGGAACAACATCGGTGGGCTTCCCCTTCTCTCTAATAAAGTTTTTTGTGTTTGGATTCTAACCCTATGTAGCATAGAAACATAAAACACCTGCTTTTTCTTGTAAAATATGTTTACCAATTTACAAGCACCAAGCTACTCTTACTTTTCTTTCTGGAAACCAACCTATGCCAGAATGCACATAAACTTTAATACCAGGACTTTTGTAATCTGGATCTCTACCTGGAGTTGTAACTGCATATCTGCATTAAAAGTTATGATAATCAGGCAGGCGATATAGATGTTAATAACTTAAATGGCATCCATCAATGTTCACTATCTCTGGTAAATCAGGATAATCTATTCTAAGATATACCATAGATTTCGGAAGTCTTATAGCTTATTACTAAAATCTCTTGATATCAATATCTATCATTGTCGGAGGAAGATATATAGGTACTTTCCACGGCCCAGCTTTTAAGTTCTTTTTTAAATCAAAGAGATCAATAAAAGACCAACCGATAGTTTTCATGCTACCATTATCACCTTCCTCGAACTTCGAAAACATGTCCCATCCATCTTTATCTCCTCCCTCTCTTAAAGGATAACCATTGCCTTAATCAAATCCCAGAGAGTGAATGTTAAACTTATCTCCGTCTGGATTACCTTGAACTTCAAAAATAAGATAGTTATGCTCATCAGCCTTTACATCCTTTAGCAAATGGGAAATATCAAAGACAGCTTGACCAGCATATTTGGTTTTTGCATTCATTTCAACAGGCTTGTTATCTACCAATCTTGGTTTAATTAGGGTTCCTCCTTTGTTATAAACTCCATAGACTATTTATACATCTCTTACCTTCTTGAAAATATCAAGAATATAATCCCAGTATACAACAAACTCTCCTGCATATTTGTTACCAGGCTTTTTAGGTTCTTCAAGTATCACAGGTGGATTGTAGGGTCTCTTGAATTCATTAGCTATAAAATAAAGCCACCTCTCTATTTCAATTCTGATTCTCATTAATTCTTAATATTTTATCCATCTAACCTGATACATGAGTAAATCATCTGGAATTCTGCTGAGATGCAAAAGCATCTCCTCTTCAGCTACTCTACAGTTTTCTAATACTTAAAATATTTGATAATCTTCCCATGGGAAATATGTCATAGGCCCTCTTGAGCCATTCCCGTTATACACATCATAATCATGATGCCCGTGATAATTAGCTAAGAACTTCGTAATTCTCTCCTTGACATCTTCAATCTGATTCCAGCTACTTACAAATAAATCATCCCATCTCAAGGCTTATTTGATGAACCATTCTATATCAAACTCATTTACAACCATGCGTTCCTAATACATTGCAGGCTAGGAATGAACAACAAAAGAATGCCCTGGGTAGAATGGGCCTCCTCCACTAATATGATGTATCACAGGATTTGAATTGTAGCTTCTCTCCATTATTGGGGCTCTCTTGTTATGGACAATATAGTTTTCGAGGTCATCTATTTGCTTATGAAAATCAGGCTCAATTTAGCCTCCAGCAATATTATACTAAGCAGCCAAGTTTCCATGTCGATTTATTACATTATCTCTGTTATAACCGTACTTGCTGGGTTTGGTATACTTAGGATTGAGATGATGATGTCTGTTAAATGAGTTATAGTAGAATCCCTCTTTCTTGAAATCATTTGGGACCATCCATTTGTAATTCTCAATTTTCTTCTCAGAATTGTACCTCCTCATATCAAATGATTTAATCATTTCATCAGCATTTAAAGGTTTCCACATGCTTAATTCTCTATGTGCGCCAGGCATTACAGAATCTATGAGAAAAATATTATTTAATTCTAAGTTTAAGCATACGGGCATTTAGGTTTCGCAAAGGAGCTGGCGTGAGCAAACTTGATTTATCAGTATAATTAGGTGGTCTCTGAACATTCAGATTGTTCGGAATAGAAATTGAATATTTCGAAAACATGAATGAATTATTTGTTTACTTATTCCCTTACTTTCTTTAATTATAATTTTGTTTCAATTAATTTGGTTTGCCTTCTTAAATTTCACAACTTTATGACTCATGGGGTTTTGGGGTTTTGGGGTTTTGGGG